AAAACATTGGAACAACAACTGAATGTGATGAAACCCAGTCATAACAATTTCTTCCACAAACCTGTTGTATTGGTTGTTGTTGTTGTGGTTGCTGCTGTGCTTGTTGAGGCTGTTGTTGTGCTTGCACTTGAATCTGCTGCTGGCCAGGTTGCTGTGCAGCAGATTGTTTGAGAGAGTCAGCTATATCCTTTTTGTAGGTTCCAGGCATGAATGTGGAGAGTGCTGCTTGCCCTGCCACCTACAGATATTCAACAATGATCAAGAATGCATGGCTAACTAAAAAGTCACAATCATTAAATATAAACATGGCATTAGATACATAACTTAATGAGTAGTTACATACCCTATGTGTTATTTTAACACTCTTCCTCCAGTCTTCAGTAAATATTTCTTTGAACTGCTGAATGTATCGACACACCTGCTGCTGGGTTCCCAATGGAAATCTAAAACAAAAGGACAAAGTATCCATACAAAAATCCTCTGATGCGCACGTGCACGCACACACACACACACACACACACACACAAAAGTTTACAAAATATTTCTGAAGAGTTTTTGAGGAGGAGAAGAAGAAGAAGAAGAAGAAGAAGAAGAAAAAAAAAAAAAAGAAATTCATCAAATAACAATACGGTAAATACCTGAAATCAGATTCAAAATCATAACTACTATTTTTTCTAACAAATAAGCTTACTTGCACGTGGATCCATTTTGCTTTCCCTCCTGGTAATCACGGTCAACATACAATTCGCCAAAATAGACCTCATCTGTCTTCCTTTGAGATATTGTCAGCCTAGAAAAAGTTTTCAATTATTATATCTTAAACTCTCAGACAAAGAAAATATGCACTTAAGATGTCTATTTGAGCAGTCAATATCAAGCTTGATATAAAATGTCCAGAATATGAAAACTACAAAACACATTAATGCTTAAAGACATTGTGTTTATATCCTAATCAAAGTTTTGTATATATCTTACTTTGTGTGGTAGATCCTTCCCTGTCCTCTTTCAGTCTCAAGCACCAATTCCTCAATGAATACAAGAGAGTTATCTGTAGTATAATTTGGTCGTTCATATGTACGTGCCACTTTTGAAACATCTATATTTTCTGGAACAGTTAAATCTGGAGCTTCATCCATGGCCATTGGAATAAGCTGCAATAAGAAAAACAACCCATTAATCAAAGACAATATAAACAGATATCTATGCTCTTACAGCTAATGTGAACAAAAGAAAAAGACAGAATTTCTTACTTTCCTCTTAACTGACTCATAAGTATTTATGAACAATTTATGCTTTCAGAAAGTGATGAGGAATCAATCATTTACATGCCTATTACCAATTACAGATTCTTCATAATTTAATCATCTCATTAACCCACTCAAGACATATGACATCCTAACCACCACTCATGCTGGGGTGAAGACCTATCATGTCATGCATGGTCAAGTCTGGTCTAAGTTGTGCACTAAACAGGTTTTAACTTGTTTGGGTCTGGCTGCAGTCACTGGGGCCTCTTTTTTGCATCAACAGATTATACCATAGCACAGAGTATAGAAAGCAGGTAATTGTGTTTCCAGTTCTTCAAATTCCTCATTCAAATGGGTGACTGCAAGCACTGGGAGACATGAGGTTCAGTATAGAGACAGGAAATCTTGTGATTGGGTTTAAGAAGAAAATGTTCTGCTAAGCTACGCAGACTCACAGGCTTTGTTATTGCTTTGGCAATGGGTCTTTTGTCCTTTTTCCCACTGAGGAAATTATGTAATCTTAGACATTTTGGTGCTGGAGCTTCTTCAGATTTCTTCTGACGATTCTGTGCAATCTGTAAATAACGGCACAAGGTTAAACTGAAGTCACATGAAATAAAGGCATTGTTTACTAACAATATTTTACACCTTCTCAAGCCTTTTACTACACAAGGCACATATTCCTATACGTAACTAGCATTTCTTATAAACATAATATAAACTTAATTTATACTGAAATATTCATTAAGACCTCAGATAATTATAAAACATAATCCTCCACTTCATGTGAATGTTATTATAACTTTGGACCACTAAGCATTTTTTTTTAAATAAAATTTTAATAGCTCACTTCCATCAATAATAGCTTAAACTTTTCTAGAAAGATAAGGGAATAAACTAGGGCCCAAACAATATATATATTGTATAAGTCAACAAACAACTTTACATCTTTACCTGACTAAATCTTCTAGCTGCTCTTTTAATAGGGACTGTTGAGAATTTGTATTTACGCTGATGAAGTTTATTATTTATAATAGCCACCATGGGTGATGGAGAGAGATTTAGGGGAGGGGCAGTGCGCTTGACAATTTCAGCCTCAAGGTGCAGTTTTTCCTCTGGGGTCCAGTCACGGTCTCGCGTCATCGCTGCAATGTCTGCTGCCAATGACTGTTTGAAAAGAGGAGTTATTTATTAAAATTAGTTAACTCATCATAGGCAAATGAACATCAACTGAGCAATCACAATAATTCAAG